TGTCAAAGGTACCATCATCCTTTCACTCTTTCAGCTTTCTACTCTCAGCATTATGCTCTATACCCCACTTTCCCTCACCCAACATGTCTAATCAGTTCCTAATCTTGCAATTTTTACCTTCAAACATCTTTTGCCTCTGACCCCTTCTTTCTACTCAGAGGATGATAGACCTTAATTCGGGTTTTTATCCCTTCTTATTCAGATTATTTCAACAACCTCCTAATGGTCTTCCTAACTCGTTTCTCCCCACTACAATACACCCTTCAATTCGTTGCCAGTGGATTTCTTAAAAAATAGCTCTGACCATGTCACTCCCCAACTAGAATATTAGAATAAAATATAAAACCCTCTAGCTTTTAAAGCCCTTCACAATCTGACACAAACCTATCTTTCCAATTTTGTTGGGCATTACTCTTCCTCCTGCTGTCTGTAATCCAGCCAAACTGGCCCTTATCCATTCCTCACATATGACCTTCCATCTCTGCCAGCCCTATGCCTTTGTACTGGCTATGCCCCCAACCTGGAATAGAATGGGCTCCTTCCTTACATCTGCCTTACAGAATCTCTCTTTTCCTTCAAGCTATAGCTCAAGCATCGAGGACCATCTCCAATTGCTCTGAGCTATATCCTTCTTGCCACCAGACCCAGATGGTTCTGGAGGAGAAAGCAAGGCTGGTAACTTTGCACAGCCTTCTCTGACTTTGCATAGGCCTCCCTCACTTAAATCCAATTCATTTGCAAGTCATGGCATCACCTTCCTGATGTCATGGTCTTCTTGGAGAATGATGGACAAATAACAACAACAGCTCAGGAATCACTTTCTACATGAAGCCTTCCCTGGTCTCCCCAACTCTTAATGCTCTCCCTCCCAAACTGCCACACATTTAACTGTGCTGAATTTATTTGTATTTATTCTCTTCACATATATACATACATATACATATACACTGTATTTTCTATTTACTTGTTTTCTTCTGCATTAGGATGCAAGATCTTTGAGATAAGAAACTGTTTCTTTTTATCTTTGTATCTTCAGTGTTTAGTCCAATAGGCTAACAATGACAATGAGGACAATAATAACATTTATATAGTGGTTTGAGTTTTGCAAAATACTTTACATATCATCTCAATTAAATCTCACAACTGTATGATGTAGATGCTATTATCCCATTTTCTAGATGAGAAAATTGAGGTTGAACAAAGTTAAATGACTTGCCCAGAGTCACGCAGCTAAGTAAATGTCTGAGACAAGATTTTAATTCAGACCTTCCTTTCTCCATGTCTAGCACCCTAACCATTGCAGCTGGAATGACATAGCAGAGCTTCCTCCACAAGTTTTTAGGGCGTCCTCTATCTAAAATGATTAATGGTATACATTTAGGGCCCATCCATCCCAAGAATTCTCCAATCTTTACAATTAAAAGCAGCCAAAGAGTAAAGAAGAGCATCCAATGGGCCTATGATATTTAGTCTACTTTTCTGAATACTAAAATGACATAAATTATGTAATTCCCCCGCTTCCACTAACGATGTTATTCAATTTGTTGCAGAAAGTAAATTTCAGGAAGTAGTTATAAAAGTAACCTGCTCATCTAAAACACAACTAAAGTCTTCCCTCTCCATAAGAGCCTGGCTAATTATCAGTTGATTAATCTGCTCATTTTAATCATTTGGATCCCTACTTGTCTAAAGAAAGAGGAAGGCTACTGTGAGGTTTTAGATTACCCACACTTCATTATTTATTGCAAACTAACATTCAGTTTAACTAATCCATGACCAGTGGTGAGTACTAACATGAATAATTACCATTACATACAATCTCCCCAAATAAACACAGGGCATTTAGTGAGGTAAGAGCCTTGTTCTTCCTTGCTTCTAATCTTCAAAATGGAATTTACTTCTTCATCAATAATGAAGATTAGGACATTCTTCACACTTATTTTATATTTCTATTTCCTTGAATCTGTGATTTATGGATCAATCAGTGATAGCTAAGAGAGAGATCAGCCTTGTTAGAATCTTAAACTTACATATATAATAATATATATCACTGTATAATTATATGATACATTTAATATCATATATAATAATAATTAACAATATTATTATTAACTAACAAGTATATATTGTTTTAAGGTTTGTAAATCCCTTCACATGTATTATCTCATAACAACTCTCTGAAATAGGTACTTTATTATCCCCATTTTTACAGATGGGGAAACTGAGACAGAGAGGTTAAGTAACTTGTCCAAGATCACACAGTTGCTAAGTATAGGAGTCAAGATTTAACTCAAGTCTTTCTGACTCCAAAGCAGGGATATGCTAGAGAAAGCTTGAACTGGCTCTTGATCAATTGCTAAATTTTCAGTGAATGCATTTTCACCTAGGAAATTATAAAATGCTACAAATTAGGGGCTTGATGTATTGTTTGGTTGATTATCTAGACTTAAGAAAGTGATAGGGGCAGCTAGGTGGCACAGTGGGTAGAGCACAGGCCCTGAAGTTAGGAGGATCTGGGTTCAAATCTGGCCTCAGACCAAACACTTGACACTTACTATCTGTGTGACCCTGGGTAAGTCACTTAACCCCAATTGCCTAAAAAAAAAAAGTGATAGAGAAAATATTAACAAAGCAGATTCAACTTTAAAGTGTGTTGGTTCATTTTTTTTTTTGGAGAGCCACTTGTTAAACATTTACCATCACATTCTGATCTAAGGCCAGTATTCTACCTAACATGCCTCTAGGAAGTTAGGGAATATTCCACCCTTTCACTTAAAAATATCTGTTAAACCAAAATAAGTTCCTATTATATACCCAGCACATCCAGCTGGTTCCATTTATAGGATAATATATTTTGAGCTGGAAGGAATATTGGAAATCAAGACCCACCATTTCATATCAAAACACAGGAAATTGAGGCTGAGAGAACTGAAGTGACGTGGCCAAGTTAACATCAATAGTAAAGAACGTATCTAGGATTTGAATCCAGGTCCCATGATGCCCAATCAAACACATTTTTTTCCACCATACATTTTGCCTTTTGCCACCATGTTACCTCTCCTAGTTCTCTGACTCTCACCTCAACTAGAAATGTTCTGAGCAATGGGTTCCCTGCTTCTGGTCTCTTTGTTCCACAATCTGTATCCTACATAACTACCAAAATAATCTTTCTCTCATGTCACACTACTACTCAAAAAGCTTCAGTTGCTCCCCACCACCTGTAATAGAATATAAGCTACTCGAGGGGCAGGGACTGCTTCATTTTTGTATTTGCATCCCTGGCCCCTAACACAGTACCTAGCACTAGAAGGCACCTAATAAAAGCTTTTGAATTGAATTGACTTGCTTCCAGGATAAAGTGTAAGCTCTTCTATTTGTTATTTAAATCCCTTTGCAATATGGCTTCATCCAGATTCATTTTGCATGACTTATCTTCATATATTCAACATTCCAGCCAAAGTGGCCAGCTTGCTCTTCCTCATATATGACATTCTGTCATCGATTTCTGGGCCCTTAGAACACATTGCCTCCTTTGCTTCTTAGAACCTCGAACTTCTTGTGAGGTTCAGTCTAGTCCATCCCTTTCTTATTTCCACCAATTGCTAATGCTCTCCCATTGCCCAGCCCCGACATTAACTTTGTATGTCTATGTATATATGTGTACATGTACACACAGGTGCGCGCATGCACGTACACACACACACACACACACACACACACATATATGTATGTATCCACACAAATATTGTATCTAAGCAGTAGAATGTAAGCTCCTTGAAGACAGGGACTGTGTCTTCAGCTAGCACAAAATAGTTAATTATTAAATGCCTTTGGAATTGAATTGAGGTGTTGAAGAGATAATAGTAATAAAGTCAATGAACTATCATCATCATGGTTTCTTATGATTTAAGGTACAGGAGAGCCCAGAGCTTTAATAAACAAAGTCCAACCATGCAAAGGTTTTGTCTCTGTTTATTTTACTTATTCTTTGTTCATTTTACTTATTCCAACTTAGGAAAGATAAAGATCATGACTAATAATAAGCATATTCTTGTTTCTCTTGTAGTAGGATACATATAAGGAATAGTGTTAGTTGGCTCGTTTTAAGCATGAAATATTCAACTGGACATTTTCTTTGTTTTCTGGGCAAATGCCCCTCCTATAACTTGAACCAAAATATGTTACTACAGGGTCATTGAGGAAACATAAGATCTGAGGCCCTTCTGAGAAATAAGATTACATTTTATCATCTTTGGAAGTCATCCAATGTGCCTCTCTGACTGACTTCAGAATAATAGCTCACATTTCCATAGAGCTTTAATGGCTCACCAAGTGCTTGCCTTACAACAACTCTGTAAGGTAAATAGTTTAAATTTATCTCTTTTTCCACAGATGAAAAAACAAGAGAGACAAACAGAAAGGCAGGCAGAGACAGAGAAAAAGAGAGACAATAAGAAAGAAAGACAGAGAGAAGAATGCATAGACAAACGTTCTTTATGCTTAAAGATTATATAATTTACAGGGATGCTTTAAGTGTGTTTGAATGACATCTATTATGATAGCAAGCATTTCCCTACCCATCTATATGTGATCTACTTGCCAAGGAGAGTGATGTGCTATAGTTGAAATGTGCTGTCTCTAGCTCTGAGGAAGCTGCTAGAGTGCTAATTGGGACTATTAAAAAAGAGTATAATTAACACTTCAATTCATTGGGGATTGAGGGGAGAGAAATAAAATCAATTGATAAAGTGCAGGCCCATATAAAATGATGTAAGAATCTGGGGTTGTTAGTTCATTCCCTCAATCAAAGCAATTGTCTTCTTTTGGCTATGATTGCCATAGACCTTTCTAATGCAATTAACTTTCTTTTTTCAAATAAAATTAAAGTTCAGGATGTAGGCAAACATTGGCTATTGCCCCTTCTAAAAAGTAGGACTAACGTCTACTACCCAATGTCTCATCTGTCTTCTTGATTTCTTACCTCTGCTCCTCTTTGACAGGTTTCTAGCCAACACTACTTTCAGGGGCCTCAGTGGTTCCATCAAGGTGAAAGAAACCACCATCCTAAGCTCTGAAAACAACTTTTTCATCTGGAATCTACAACATGACCCAGTAGGGAAGCCAATGTGGACCCGCCTGGGCAGCTGGCAGGGAGGGAAGATTGTCATGGACTATGGAATATGGCCAGAACAAGCCCAAAGACACAGGACCAACTTTCAACACCCATCCAGACTACATCTGAGAGTGGTCACCCTGATCGAGCATCCCTTTGTCTTCACACGTCAGGTGGATGATGATGGTCTGTGCCCTGCTGGTCAGCTCTGCCTGGACCCACTGACAAACAACTCCTCCATATTGGATGATCTTTTTGACAGCCTCCAGGGCGATAATGATACAGTGCCCATCAAGTATAAGAAGTGTTGCTATGGCTACTGCATTGATCTTCTGGAAAAGCTGGCAGAGGACCTGAACTTTGACTTTGATCTCTACATTGTTGGAGATGGGAAGTATGGAGCTTGGAAAAATGGCCACTGGACTGGGCTAGTTGGGGACCTCTTGAGTGGGACAGCCCATATGGCAGTCACTTCCTTTAGTATAAACACTGCTCGAAGCCAGGTGATTGACTTCACCAGCCCCTTCTTCTCCACCAGCTTGGGAATCTTAGTGAGAACCCGAGACACGGCAGCTCCTATTGGAGCCTTCATGTGGCCACTCCACTGGACAATGTGGCTGGGGATATTTGTGGCCCTCCACATTACCGCCATATTCCTCACCCTATATGAATGGAAAAGTCCCTTTGGAATGACTCCCAAAGGGCGGAATAGGAGTAAAGTCTTCTCCTTCTCTTCGGCTTTGAATGTCTGTTATGCCATCTTGTTTGGTAGAACTGTGGCCATCAAACCTCCCAAATGCTGGACTGGAAGATTTTTAATGAATCTCTGGGCTATTTTCTGTTTGTTTTGCCTTTCCACATACACAGCAAATCTAGCTGCTGTCATGGTTGGAGAGAAAATATATGAAGAGCTCTCTGGGATACATGACCCAAAGGTAAAGGAAAAAAAAAAAGAAAACTAGAAATTTCAGCTTACTCTAGCTCTCTTTATTGTACGTTTAAATGTCATGCTAAATATCTTGTCCCTTTAGAATTATATACTGTTCAAACTTAAAGGTCATTATGGTCATCTAAGCCAATCCCCTCATCTTTCAGAAGAGGACATTGAGGCCCAGAGAAGTTAGGAAACTTGACTAAGGCACTTGTTATAATGGAGAGTAGGATGGAGATCTCTAGGTTCACAGTTAAGTGATCTAGCATTTGTTTTCATTTTGCTTGTTGAAATTCTGTCAGACACAATGAGGTTATCTCTGTCACACACTTAAGGGAGAATCCAGGAAGCCAATTTATTGTCTGGAGTAGGTCATTCTTTAATTTATTGTCAGTGAAAAGAAAGAGGTTCTTAGAAGTAGTTGTTTCACAGTTCTGCCTATTAGAAATGTCTCTTAACAGTAAATATTCCCTAGGCATTGGCCATCCTAAGCAAAAGATGCCAGCAGTCAAATATCTTGTCAGATACTCCTCATTTCTGGCCTACCCTAGACCCAAGAGAAAAACTAGTCATTATAAAGTAACTGTTCCCAATATAGCCTTTACAAAATGATGAATTGCTTTCCTTTGGGGTCAGTGAAAGGAAATCAGGAAAACAATACATTTGCTCAGTAGTAAAGCATCTATTTGCCCATTAAAAAAGCAATATAGTTGGGGGAGCTCACAGTTTTTCTTGTGGACCTAGTGTTTATTACGACGTAGCCTAAACTGAGCACTTCTTACACTCAGAAGCTGTTGTGGCCCTTTTCAGGAATATGTCAGTGCAAAGAACAGTACTTCGGACAGTGGTAATTTTTCATTTGGAACTAGGAGTTGCAAGATCCAAGTTGACTTGAGATAGAGTAGCTAATTATATTGAATGATTCTGGCCTCTAGAATTGCTTTCCCCTACTTAAGTTGGTGAGTGACAAACCTGGAGTTTGTTAGCATTGTCTTCTGATTGGATAAATACTGTTTCATTGTGCTCAGGGATGCATAAGGTGATTAGAATGATAGCTCAGGTTTAATGGAAGCATAGCCTTTGGTTAAATCTTAGATTAAGTTTTCATTAAATTAGCAAGTAATAAATATTTCTCAAAGCAAATTAGATATGGGGTTGTCCTTTGCAGAGGAAAGAAGGTAACATTGGATCAACAGACCACTGAATTGGGGAATGCTTGCAGGGTCAAATATATGCACTTTTAAAGTGCCTATAGACTAATCATTTCTTATAGGATTGAAACATCTCACTATAAAATTTCATTTAAAATACATTTTTAGAACCTCATTTTCATAACAATACCTATGAAGAGAATGTTTTCTATGGTTCTTAGCAAAAAGCTAAGGATGAAATAAACCAATCTTCAGAGCCCTTACAGCCCCTGACAAGTTTCAATAGTTCTTCTGGTTTAGATTAAGCTTTTGTTTTGCAACCAAGGCCAATAACAAATTTTACCTATATAGCTCCCAATAAATGGCACTGCCCTTGTAATGGGATTCAATTAGAAGTGAGTCATCAGGAGTAGGTAATGAGTTCCCTTCAGTGAAGGAACATTAAATGATTTACTTGGAATTCAATGAACATCTTTCAGTTCCTTAAGCCTCAGATGTACAATTAAAACAGCAGCCAACTTAACAGGTAAACATTGAGGATTGAACATGTCTCCTCTTCTCCATTTTGGACTAATTTCCCCTATCTAAACATTCTGAATCCTTTCTAGGGGTAGGACTCTAAATAAGGTCACTAGATTCTCCACAAACTTTCATAAACTTTTAGTGTTATGTGTTTAAGAGACTATATGTAAACAATACTTAAACAATATGAAACAAATCAATTCTTTGTAGTATGAAAATCAGAGAAACCAATTTTGGACAAAAGAACTAGTTGGCTCCCTGTCTCCATGCAGATTTAGAAATGTTCAAGAAACATAGAGCACAAAATGAGGCAGCAAAGCAAGCCAGCTTTATTGAGGGGGCATACTTAAAATATGAAGATCAGTCAAGAAGAATGGTGAAAATGGGTCCACTCTGCTAAAGCCCTGGTAGAATTGAGTGAGCTCATTGAACCCCTAGAAGGAAGGGGGTACCCCCACAGTAAAGTCAAGTAGGTTTTTGCAGGGTTCTTATCTGGGTCTAGTAGTTGGTGGGGGAAGGGAGTGAAAAATCTGGACCTGAGGATTGGTGCTGATTCATGCTTGTGAGGAAAGGGAAGACTCCTAGAGAAATGGCTAGTTGATATTCAGACTCCCCACTGGTGGGAAAAGGGGCTTTGGGCCATTACTGCTGGTCTTACTCTTCCCAAGTGACTCAGGGGTTTGAGCTTCCCCAGGATTTCTCCATTTAGCAGGGTAGGGAGGCTACTGGATCAATTAAACTACCTAAACTTTATGTTTTTCAAATACTGGTTTAAGCACAATATAGAACCAAATTTCATTTTTTAGATATTTCTTCCTCCAAATTATAGATGGAATGTAGTACCAGTGCCAAAACAAGAAGCTGAAAAGTGAAAATTCCAATCAAACCCAGGGTTGGATTTTTTTTAATGTCATCATGATGATAAAAATAGTTTTGCCCATTTTTTCCCACTGAGTTGTTTTGGGGTTATATAAACATGACCTGTTTAAATATGAGGACATCTTTCCTGGGATTTCTTTGAAAATGGACCTAAGGGTTTTTAGAACTATAAGGAGTCTATTGAAAAATACTGTAAGAGAGTCAAGCCCTACCATATTCAGGAAGGATCCTATTAAGTTTTAGGAGAATTATAAGATCATGCCATGAAATGAGCAGCAGATGTACAATCAAAAATTTAGAATGGAGAGGAATTTTAGAGATCAAGCCCCTTATTTTGCAAATGATGAAACTGGAGCTCAGAGGTTAAGTGATTTACCCAAGGTCACCTCAGGGGCAAAGTCAGGATTTTAACCTAGTTCCTCTGATTCTAAATCTAGTCACTCCCCTATATCCTAATATTGCTAATTCTCTGTTTTGATCATTCTAAATTACCTTTTTATTTTGCAAAGCCATTGCATTCCCTCAACTGGCAAAGGGAAGACCAAAGTGATTGGCATGCCAAAATTAGTGGGAAAGAACTTTCTATTTTTATCTTGGAACTCAGCATTTTCCAGATTATCAGTTAATTGAATATGTTCTTAATGCTATCTGTTGCCAAATAGTTGGTTTGTTATATCTAAATCATTGCCATTACAGACCCAGAGACTTAAATACATACAAAATGTTAGAGCTAAAGGAAAATGTATCTTAGAAAAGGAGAACTGGATGACTAGAATTTTTTAAATAACTACAGCATAGGGGGAAGGCGAAAGAGAAGGAGAAAGAGAAAATGAATGAAATATTTAAAACTGAAGAATAATTTAGAGAAAGAAGAATGAGAATTCAATGCATTTAGCCTTACATCCGGGGCACCAAGTTTACCATCTTCGTTAAGTTCAAGCTGCTTCATGGATATTCAGTTTGCATTATTATAGTGTCTCCTAATCTTTCACTTTATGCACACTTCCTGCAGAGCTTCAGCATTCCAATATATAGATCACCAAAGCCAAGTCACGAACACTGCACATCTTAAATGTGAGGGAGAAATTATTTTAGAGTACTTAAGAAGAAATCATAAAGACAAAACACAACCAAACTGAAACAAGACAAACCCAGCAGGGAAGCCTGGGTTGTGATGCTCCCCAAGCAAGAGCTGAGGATAATTTTTCAAACCTTACTTATCCCTCAGAACAGGAATCGATCAATAGAATTGGAAAAGATCAATACTGCATTACAGCTAGTAACTAGCTAGGTTATTGCCTCAGGGTTAAAATAAGAACTCCTCAGCTTGCCACTTAAAGCCTTATACAATCTGGCTTCTGCCTAGCTTTCCATCCTTTCTTTCACTTCATTTTTAATAAGTTGTATCAATGCCTTTTCTTTTTTACAGTGCTTACAGCCACCTCCAGATACACTCCCTACTCCCATCTCCTAACAACAAATCTCACATTATAACAAAGAAAAACAGTTAAAAGCAAAACCAGATGACACAATGACCATTCCAGACCTTTCCTATCATTCCTTCCCTCTCCATCGTGTATTCAGTATTCCAGCCAAATTGGACTCTTAGTCGTTGCCCGAACTTGGCATTCAATCCCCCATCTTTGTCCCTTCATTAGGCTGTTCCTGATGCCCAAAGGTGAGCATATAGTATGCAGTGTACCACTGGCCTTTGGAGGAGGGGAAGTCAGAAAGGGAACATGGTCATTCCACAGGATTACCGGGGAAAAGGGAAAGAGGAAGAGAAGGAGGGAAAAGAAGACGAAGGGAATAAGCATTTATATAGCACTTACTATGTGAAAGGCACTGTGCCAAGCATATTACCTCATCTGATTCTCATGAGCAGTCACAAAGTTTTCCCCTTACCCTACCCCTTTCCCTGCCTCCTTTTAACAGCCAGTCAACAAGTGCTTATTAAGTGCTTACTGTTTGTCTGGCACTGTGCTAAAGGCTGTGAACCCTAAATGGATAAAAGACTCAAACAAGATCTCTGCCCTCAAAGAGTTCACAATAGACAATGAACCTCTTGTAAAATTTTCTTTACAAAAAAAAAAAATGCTGTAGCAAAACAATTTAAAAAGTGGAGATGGGTTATCAGTGAATTTAAGTGGTGGCAAGAAGTTTCATGCTTTGTAGGGTTTTATGGGTTAATCTTGGCTCTAGGCATCAGTTAACTGCAGGGCTCTAAACAAGGGTTCTGTACTCCTTGAGTTCAGACTCACATCTGTTCAGACATTTGTCACTTCTAATTAGATCAGAGGAGCTAGATGTTGTGTTTTGCCATGTCTGTATCAGTCAAGCAGAGAAACAACCATTCATGTGCCTAGGATGGGTCCTTGTCAGGACCTACCCCTGAGGAAAACTGAGCTAGGCAGCTTGCCATGCGGATCCTCCCATCTGCCCTTTCAGGACA